TCACGTTCATTGGGAACTGGGAAGGTCTAGTTCCTTCTTGTCTAAATTTTCAATCCAGTAAAAAAATAGTAGTCTTGCAGTGGCTTGAGACAGACAGTAAGTTTCCCATAAAAGAGATTTCACAGCTGGTATTTAACTTTTTTAAAAATGGACATTAATCATGCCATCAGAGTTACTTCTGATTTAGCTATCATTATACCAGCCTCTTAACAGAAATGCTTTACAAAGTTATACATTCCAAAGTACACAGCTTGAAATGATAGTTTGCAGGTATTAAAGTTATCTTGTAGTGCTGAAGATAACACGGAATCTAAGTTAAAGATAGCATTTCAGTTGAGATAACAAGTGTAATAGATGCATTCTTAAAGCTGTTCGCTGACAGTCCATGTACATTTTTTTTCGGATCTGGTCTGTAAGAGGAAATTGCTTTGAGAAACCTTTTCCCAGTCAATCACTTATCTGTACTGGAAGATTAAAAGGCAGTTTTACAGGGGGTGGAGGAGTACGGAAAATGCAGAAACCCCGGGTTTTTTGAGCTTTACTAAAATGTCTGATGCTTGAGAAGCATGTTGCTGAAAGGTTAGCTTTATAACTCTGGCTGCCGAGAAGCCCAGATAGAAAAATCTCACAACATTGAGGTACTTCCCATTTAGCAAATTCCATATGCGTTTTTCATTTCCAGGTTGTCCTTTTGACTTTATAACGCAAAGCTCCAGCTGTGATGTTTTGTAATTATAGGTATCACAAACCTGAGTGGTGGGATGGCTTAGAGGTGCTCGCCTTCCACTCGGAATAGAATAGAATGAGAGCGTTGGAAGGGACCTTGGAGGTCTTCTAGTCCACCCCCCCTGCTCAGGTTGAGAGTTCAATCTAGACAGTGACAGATGTTTCTCTATCAGGGCACAAAGAGAAAATATCTGCTGTGAACTCACATGTAGGCTTCAGGAAGGGCATCTGGCCAGTAAACGCTCAGCTCCATTCGGTCACCCCGACTCCACCCTGAATCAAGGGATTACAGGGTTGTAAGAAAGAAAGAAAGGTGCATCACAAACCTATCGATGCCATCTTTCACATTTTGCAGATTTTTCTAGGCTGGTGGTCCTTCACCAGTTAAACACCCAGCATCATGTTGAGGAAGGCTGATCTATGAATGCACAGCCTAGAAATTGATCACTCAAATGCCACTGTGGGGCATGTTCTCCCTCATATCCAAGGGATGTGTGATTGATTGATTGCCTTTCTAAGCTGTCCATCAATGAGAGTTCTCTGGGCAGACGTGTTAAAATCGGCACTGTTTCTCTCAAGGTTTAATAACAGTAGTCCTGCTTGGAGTCCATTTTTATCATTGAATCATCCAGTTTTTAACCACTGCCAGATTAATCAACTCTTAATATTATGCGTGCTTCAAACTTGCTTTGGATCTTGCATGAATACACTGCTTCTCTGCAAGACATTTCAGCAACCTAAACTTTCTTTTCAGACTGCATCAATCTGGTGGGAGGAAAAGGGGGAAAAAAAGGACTGGATTGCTGAAAGCCATTGTAGCATTTTTCAGACTGAATACCAAACTCCAAAAAAAAAAGTATTGTGCTGAATAGCAGCTCTCAAGGCATCAGCAGGGCTAGAGATTCAATCAATATCACAGCTGTAGCCATGTGTCAAAAGGGCAGAGCATCAAATACCTGTCCCTAGCCGCCATCTTGATTTTATTTTTATTTTTTGACATTCCTTCCTCATGGATGCCCTGAGGGAGATGTTCAGTTCATCAAAGCTGCAAAACATTTCTTCAGAACCATTTTCAAAATTGTAGGTTAGGTAGCCCTTAATAGCAACACGGAAAATTAGAGCCAAAGGTGCCTCTACACATCCAACTAGTTCTTGGCCAACTCCATTTGCTTAGCTCCTGTATATTTTTGTTGCAGTTCTTTCAAGGCTCTACATAAAATTTAGATTTTTTCTTGCCAAATCTAAAAAAAGTCAGCCCTTGTTTTCTTGCAGAACTTTCATTACCAAATTAGGTTTGCTGAGTAGTCATGATGTTACCTAGTTTGGGTAATGAAAAAGGTCTGCAAGAAAACAACCAAGCTCAGACAGTACCAAGGATCTTATTTCAACCCCGAGCTACAAATATTCTCCTTTATCCATAGACAAGCTTGTTTTTACACTGAGAATGTCAGAAACAGCCTATTAGATTTGTCCAAGTCCTGCATAATAAGGCTGAGCATGCTTCAAAATGTTTCAGAAGTCCTTCTGAACTTTCATAAGGTTAGTATCTTATGAGGGAACTTGCCTGCTTTAATGAATTTAAAGTACAAAGTAGTTCTTCAGAATCATTTTGAAACTCAGCTATTTAGTCCTATGGTGATCAGTTAAGCCAGGGATGACAAACTCAATGCCCGTGGGCCAGAGGTGGTCTTCAGCAGATTCTGACCAGTTCTAGAGAACCGGTAGTGGAAATTTTGAGTAGTTTGGAGAACCAGCAAATACCACCTCTGTGTGGAGTTTTTACAGTATCCTTCCCCTGCCACGTCCACCAAGCCACACCCACAGAACCGGTAGTAAAAAAAAAATTGAATCCCACCACTGCCGTGGGCCAAATCCTGCCCCACGGGGTGCTTAGATCAGGTCCGCAGGACCGTCCTGGAAACAGGAAAGGACCAGCCCATTTTGCCATCCCACACACATGCCCCTCCCCCGAGCTCCATTTTCACTGGCAGAGAGCTAGCAAAACAAAAAAACAAAATAAAAGGAGAAATGTTTCCCCTTGTGCATCTGAGCATGCAAGAAGAGACAGGGAAGGAGAAAGGGAAAGAGGAAAGACAAAGCAAAGGAAGGAAAGGTGGGAAGAGAGCAAGAAAGGGAAAATAAAGAAAGAGGGGAAGGAGGAAGAAAGGAGAAGGAAGAAGGAAGGAAAAAGAAGAAGAGGGAAGGAGGGAGGTTTATAAGGAGAGGGAGGGAAGGTCTGAGGGAAATCCTGCCTTAGCACTTGGCCACAACAGGTGCCCCCGACATGAGTGACGTCAAGCTGGGCACGCCCACCCTGGCCACACCCACCTCATCCCCACCGAGGTCAAACACAATCCTGATGCGGCCCTCAATGAAATTGAGTTTGACATCCCTAGTTAAGCAATCCAGAGAGATCTCCCATCACGTTTCTCAAAACATAGCCTATTACCTTTGCTACTGGAGTTCGATTATACAATTGCTATCAAGGTTTTCTCTGCCCTATATATTGTCCTAGGCTTTTCATGAGGTTGTTGAAAGATGGCAATAGTTAGGTTTAACTTGATAGATAATAGAAGTATGCTTAATTCATTCATTCTTGTGAGATCTGCTAAGCCTAGCATCACTTGGCACTGGGTTGAAATTGTGGTAAATGCATAAAATGTTATTTATTGATTCTCTTTGTCATTCTGTACACTGCTCACAGTTTCATGCCTGTGCTGAGTGATGGCCAAATTGCGGTGTGCAATTAATTCCCTCTTCAGAACTTCAAGGAGAAAAGAACAGAAAAGAAGATTTTAGACAGGGGGGAATAACAGACTCATTTCAAGTTCTCCTACTCCCTTCCTACAAAGTTTATTTAGACATACCTGTAATATTTCCTCACCCTAACCCATATCCTTGGTTGCTATTTGATGGTAGATTATGGACACAGGTAGGTATCAAGATATTGCTAAAATATATTAATGTATACAGGTAGTCCTCGAATTATGACCGCAATTGACCCCAAAATTTATGTTGCTAAGGGAGGAGACAGTAGTTAAATGAATTTTGCCCCATTTTACCCCCTTCCTTGCACACTTGTTAAGTGATACTGCAGCAGTTTAAGTTAGTAACACGGTTGTTAAGTGTGAATCTGGCTTCCCCATTGACTTTGCTTGTCAGAAAATCACATCACCCAGGGACACTGCAACTGTCATAACTATGAGTCAGTTGCCGAGTGTCTGAATTTTGATCCCGTGACCATGGGGGATGCCACAATAGTCGGAAGTGTGAAAAACAGTCATAAGTCACTTTTTTCAGTGCCGTTGTAACTTTGAATGGTCACTAAATGAACTATTGTAAGTCAAGGACTACTTGTATATGGAATCCTCATATATTTCAACCGGGAATGTCTGCTGAGAGTCAGTTCCTTCATTACAGAATGATAGCAATTTCTGCCATATGCCCTTGTGTCCATTTATGGGTTTTGTGTAGGAAATTAGTACAAGGACCGCAAGTATCTTCCATATGGCTACTCATGGATAAATCCTGACCCTTAGACATATTGTGATCTGGATATCAAGAGCTAATTATTCCCTTGACATTAGCTGAAACTAATTAACTTCCTTATCTGCTAAATTATATCCACATTTGAAATTTCTTTGCTGAAAGGTTTTCCTGGGGAAAATGCTAATTGTAGTCACGTGACCCTGTTTTTCTCTCTCTCTGTCTCTCTCATACACACACACGCACACACTCACACACAGAATTTCTGCCTTCAAACATGCCACGTGTTCCCTGTAAGTAAGTAATATCCCATATTAATTATTCCTGTATTGCCTACATCAGTGATTCTCAACTTTAGCAACTTTAAGCTGGGTGGATTTCAACTCCCAGAATTCCCCAGCCTGCTCTGCTTTGGCTGGGGTATTCTGGGAATTGAAGTCCAGCCATCTTTCAGTTGCCAAGGTTGAGAATCATTGGCCTATCTCATTCGGGGCAGGAAATTCAGAAAGTTTCAAAGTAGGATTATAAAAGCCCTAAAGGAGAGGGAAAACCAGATGCCCCAAAACCAGCAGCAATCCATCTGATAGGAAATAGTGAAAATGGGATGGCGGATCGAAAGAGGGAAAACAGTGCCAATAACCCCAAGCATACAAGATGAGAATGTCCAGCTTAATGCAGATATGAGAATGAACTATTGGTAACCCTTGTTTCTCTGCTTTATAATGAGTAATGTTTTAAAGAGAGATGATGTTGAGACTGATGGTAAATTTGGAACTCTTTAATTTTAGTGCACAGCTTCAATACGGAGTCTAGCCGAGGTACTGTAGACCATTTACCATTTTACTCATGCACCTATTTGTCTAGCGTAAATTATATGAAGTTGTTGTTCTGCTTTGAGTAATGTATTAAATGTGTCGGAAATGATGACAGGAGAAAATTGTCAGGTGTCTACATTGTTCAGTCATCATCAGGTCTCCCCGGAGCTGTTGGAAACCCATGAGCCATCAGCCTTTCTTGGTAAACAATTTGAGTTTTCAAAACTGATATAATAGCGCCAAGCCACAACACGAAGTTTTGCAAGCGTATTGATTTCTCTGTGAAATATTACAGAGATTCTAGTTGATGCAACATGCACGGATAGAAGTTTTAATGAACTAATGGGGTATGGATTTGAGTTTAGGCAGACACAGCTACCTTCTCCATCTGAGGCGAGAGAGGAAGAACAAATTGTCTTTACAAAACAGGAGCCAGCCTCAAAAATCTCCTGATTTTTAATGTCATATTTTTTAAAAGAAAAGAAAAGAAAATCCCTCCACTTAATTTATTCTAATCCAAAAATCATATGCAGAACTTTAAATAATAATAATAATAATAATAATAATAATAATAATAATAATAATAA